GAATCAGTAACCCCTTATAACAAATAACATTTTAAGAGACATTTTGTGTTATCCGAGGTAATACACACATATATGCTGCTATGTATGATAATTTATCTAACTGTATTTATGTATACCTGTACATGAATAAACTTATTAATAAAAAAACGTTGGGTAATTGTTAATCTCACTCAAAGTGACACAACGTACAGTAATTTTGAGAGAAAATAAAGAGGCAGAGTGACTTAGTGATGGCGGAGATGATCACTCTCACAATATTAACTACAACCTTAACACACTGTATGAATGTTACCGTGAGTAAGTTATGGCGGAGATGATCACCTGGTGATGTTGTTGTTAACAGCACCACTATCACACTTGTTGTAACACTGTTGCCACACCTGACTCATGTAAAGTAGCGCAAGTTGAGGACAGTGTTGCCACACCTGGCTCATGTAAAGTAGCGCAAGTTGACGACAGTGTTGCCACACCTGGCTCATGTAAAGTAGCACAAGTTGAGGACAGTGTTGCCACACCTGACTCATGTAAAGTAGCGCAAGTTGAGGACAGTGTTGCCACAAACCGGGTCATGTAAAGTAGCGCAAGTTGACGACAGTGTTGCCACACCTGGCTCATGTAAAGTAGCACAAGTTGAGGACAGTGTTGCCACACCTGGCTCATGTAAAGTAGCACAAGTTGAGGATAGTGTTGCCACACCTGACTCATGTAAAGTAGCGCAAGTTGAGGACAGTGTTGCCACACCTGGCTCATGTAAAGTAGCACAAGTTGAGGACAGTGTTGCCACACCTGACTCATGTAAAGTAGCACAAGTGGGGAAAGTGTTGCCACACCTGGCTCTGTAAAGTGCACAAGTTGAGGACAGTGTTGCCACACCGGCTCATGTAAATAGCAAGTTGAGGACAGTGTTCCACCCCGGCTCATTAAAGTAGCGAAGTTGGTGCAGTTTGCCACCCTGACTCATGTAAAGTAGCGCAAGTACCAAGTAACCGAACTTAAAAACCCAACATGGACCATACTACTTTTTTTTTAAATTTTAATTTCAAATTTTTATTCCCTTATAAGGATTACAACTGAGTTTACAGAATTTGTTTTGTGTGGTTTACTGTAGAAAAATAAGATTACACAGTGTCCCACTAAAACAGACCTAGCAGGCTAGGATTTGGGGGCAGACTTATTTTAATTTTTAAATTTTTAATATATATATATATATATATATATATATAAATATTTTATATATAATATATAATTTTTAATTTTATATATATATATTTACAAAATATATAAAAAGTGGTGTGTGTGTTGTGGGGGTGTTTTTTGTGTGTGTGTGTGTGTTCTGTGTGTGTGTGTGTGTGTGTGTGTGTGTGTGTGTCCTCGTGGTTGTGTGTGTGTGTTGTGTGTGTGTGTGTGTGGTTTTGTTACTCCCTATTGAACTCACTTTTTTTTTTGTGGTTTCAGGGGTCGATTCACGCTCCTGTCCCCCCCTTTGCGTTGTACGGGTCCTCTCTCTCCCTCCCATGATCTATATACCTCGCCTTAAAACTATGTTGGTTCCTCCTCCCCCACACACTTTCTAGGCTATTCCATGGCCTGACTACTTCTTTACTGAAGAAATACTTCCTAACATCCCCTTTTATTTATCTGAGTCTTCAAATTTTCCCAATTGTGACCTCTTTTGTCTGTGTCCCCCTTTTTGGAAAAATCCCGCTTTGTCCACCTCTCTATTTCCCCGCAGTATTTTATGTCGTTTTTATTCCCCCCTGACCCGCTTCCTCCAGGGTTTGTCAGGCCGATTTCCCTTAAACTTTCTTTTAGACATTCCCCTTAGCTCTGGAAAATAACCTTGTGGGAAAACCCTTTTTACTTTCTCTAGTTTCTTTACGTGCTTTATCAAGTGCGGGTTCCAAACAGGTGCTCATCCCGTATGGGCCGACATACACGTGTACTTCTTGAAATTCTTTTAAAAGGGTCGGGAAAGCTGTTCTCAGGGTTTTCCCGCGCCCCAAAGCTGCAGCAGTTATCTGATTTATGTGTCTTCTGGGGACATGCTCGGTTTATACTCCCCCAAGATCTTTTCCTTGAGTGAGGTTTTCAGCTTTGGCCACCTAGCCTATACTCTGTCTCGGTCTTCTGTCCCTTCCCCTATCTTTATACTTTGCATTTGGCAGGATTAAATTCGAGAAGCCATTTTCGGACCAGGTGCCAGTCTGCCAGGTTCTTTGAAGTCCTGCCTGGTCCTCATCAGATTTAATTCTCCCATTAAATCACATCATCTGCAAAACAGGGACACTTTTGGTCTAACCCCCCCTCATGTCGTTCACATATACCAAAA